CTGCTCTGATGCCTTTGCCTCTTCCTATAAGGACACCAGTCGTATCAGATTAGGGCCTCACTCTTATGACCTCATTCTACCTTAATTACCTCCTGAAAGGCCCTGTCTCCAACTACGGTCACATCTGGGGGGTGGTTAGGACTTTAGGGTGGACACAATTCAGTCCATAACACCAACCATTGGACAGGCACCCCTCATCTCTTTCCAGAAGTCTTTCTGGGTGAACATTATTAAAGCCTGTTCATAGGAAAGGCTGCCAAACAGTACTAAGATCCCGACTCCTGAACTCCAAGTTCTGGGTTTAAGTCCTGACTTTACTATTTACTAGATGAATGACCTTGGGCAAATTGCTTAACTATAAATGAGGGTAATAATATCTCTCAGGGGTTGTTACAAGAATTATCTAAGAAAATACATACCAAGTGCTTAGAACAATGACCTGGCACAAAGTAAGTTAAACTACATGTTGGTCACTCACATCACCACAAACAGAGGAGACAGAGACAAGGAGACATCGGGATTGGGATTTGGACGCAAACGCTGTGCTCTGACCTGAGGTTCTTGGGACTCGGGACTGGTGGGTGTCCACTGTTTTCCTCTTTTCTTCCTGGCCGGACTTTCCCTCAGCCTTAACTGAGCATAATATGAAAGTTAAGTGTATGTATGTTTATTCATGAAACTATATTTGTTTTTTTTCATTACTCATTAATAAAGCATGTGAATATGGTACTTTCTGGGTCTCTTTCCTAAAAACAAATTCTCTAAAATGATTCGGGGAGTTGCTGGTGTCCTAGTGGTTAGGATTCTGGGCTTTCACTGCCACAGCCAAGTTCAGTCCCTGGTCGGGGAACTTAGATCCCGCAGGCCCGTGGAGCAGCCCCCCAAAAGAAAGAAAATAAGTAAATAAAATGATTCGTATATGGTGCTAGACATCACCCACAGGTCCCAAAGTCTGTGGCTCTGCTGATTCAACAGCACACACACAAGAAATTCGTTCCCTCTCCTCTGCTGCCACCATGTGGTCGTATCGGTTATAACCAGCATTTTCACAGGCTTTGGCAGGGCTGGGAGCTTAACTTGAATTTGTTATCTGGGTCTCAGCATAGGTAGTACACCTCTGATTAAAAACATATAACACTTGACATATATACACTAATATGTATAAAATGTATAACTAATAAAAAATGTAAAATAAAATAAATAAAAATGCTGCTGGAAAAAAAAACATAAAACACATCTGGAAAAGCTATATAACAGATAGTCTTCTTATTGTGGTGAATTCCAGCCTACTCCAGCCTTGGGGATCTTCCCCACTTAAGCAGCGAACATTCACTTATGTCAACTCAGATCAGAGACTTGAAATGATGAGACACACTCCCTGTCCCCAAAGACTTCATAGTCTAATGTGTAAACAAATACTCGGGCAACCACACATGCTGAAGATGGGGTTACCCTACGGGAAAGGAAGACAAGGTCATCCAAGTCACCGGGACTTTCACATCTCACAACTAAGGAAAAAGTTTACATTTTTCATTAAATTAAACCAAATATCAATACAGAATGATAGTGTGATGGCAACAGTAGATTCTTTTTTTTTTTTTTTTTTTTTTTTTGCGGTACGCGGGCCTCTCACTGCTGTGGCCTCTCCCGCTGCGGAGCACAGGCTCCGGACGCGCAGGCTCAGCGGCCATGGCTCACGGGCCCAGCCGCTCCGCGGCACGTGGGATCCTCCCGGATCGGGGCACAAACCCGTGTCCCCTGCATCGGCAGGCGGACTCTCAACCACTGCACCACCAGGGAAGCCCGCAACAGTAGATTCTTTAAATTTCATTGATCCATAAAATTTGAGAGCTCACTGTGTCTTACAAAATCATCTAATGCAACCTCTCATCTTACAAGTGGGGAAACTGAGGCCCTGGGAGAGGAAGAGACTTATTCTAGGGCACACAGCTGGTCAGGGAGAGGGCTAGAGTTCATGTTCACTGTACTCCCGATCGTTGCCACCCGTAGCCGGACGTGGGTGACAGTGTGGGCGGGGGGTATAAAGGGACTTTGGGAGGAAGGACCTTTGTGGAGTCATGGAGGAAAGGGGGATGCCTCGGGGGTACATTGCAGGTCACAGCCACAGTCCAGACGGAAGAGTTTCTGACATGAAACACAGGCCAGCCTAGGAGACCCAGGTCTCCACCCAGCTTCACTCCTTTTTCTCTCTTCTTAAAATTCTGTTTTTCCTCCTCCAACCTGTTCTCTCCACTACCTTTTTTCTAGTCAATCATTTTATTGACATTTGATCATTGTGCTTTCTCCACCAAGAACTATCATGCATCATGGAAATTGTACAAATTTTGGAACTACACAGACCTGATTTTAAACCCTGCCCTGCCCACTAGCTATGCAACTTGGAATAGTTACCTAACTCTGCTAAGTCTTAGTTTCTTTATCTTTGAAAAGTTACTACTTCTTACCTTGAAAGGATGTGGCCTTCAATGTGCCCATATGTTCATTATTAAACACTCAATAATTCTTACCAAGCACCAAGCCCAGTTGTGGGCCCTGGGGATGATAAAAACACCACTTATTTTAAAAAAAAAAAAAAGGGACTTCCCTGGTGGTCCAGCAGTTAAAGACTCTGTGCTCCCAATGCAGGGGGCCCAGGTTCGATCCCTGGTCAGGGAACTAGATAGATCCCACATGCTGCAACTAAGACCCAACTGCAACTGCAACTAAGTGCAGCCAAATAAATATTTTTTTAAATAATAAAAATTAAAACAGCACTTATTTGAAGGCTGTGTTCTAGGTATTTTACATGAATTATGTTACTCATCTCCACTCCTCGGATGAGGAGACTGAGGTATGGAGGAGTTCAGATATCTTGCCCACAAAGCTGTAAACGTCAGCCTATTCCCAGCGTGAATAGAAGTTATACCATACACACGTGGAGGAAAATAAAGTCCGTGCCTTCATGGAACTTTCATTCCGGAGGAAAGTGAAATCCGGAAAACTACTGAGACAGTTTGTAATAGACAAATATTAGTTTCTTGTTCCCTCCCCCAAGTCTATGACCAAAAAGGAGGATCACATAAACAAAGAGGAAGAGAAGTGATCTGAATGCTGTCCTATTTTTTTTTTTTTTTTTTTTTGCG